GACTAACATTTTCCCATTCCGTAAAGCATAGCCAATCAAAACAAATAATACTGATACAAATTTGGAGGTAAATGTTTATTAACTCCAAATTTCGTACTTTTGGAAAACAAATTCGACGTTGAGATTTGATCAAATCGATTAATACTGCGAACAAACAATATAAAAAAGCTTAAAATGGCAATCTTCGAACACTTACTGCCTTTCACAATCGTGCATCTAGAAATGGGAACACAATTCATGGTGAAAGAGACAATGGATCATTATGTTCGTTTGATCAATGCCCAAACTCGTAAACAATTTCATTGATATAAGCTTAATAATCTATAATTAAACTTTAAAAGATATATTATTAAATTCATTAATTAAAATTAGTACGTTTAAAGGTTTCAATAAAGTTGCAAATATAGGTTGTATCTACATATTTTTACACAAAAATTATAAAATAGTTATTTACTTGTATCTATCCCGACGGATAATTTTAACTCGCGTATTACTTGAATTCAAGTTTTAAAATTTTTCTTCATACGCTACAGTCCATCGAAAATGGGCTGCTGGCTTGAATCTGCTAAGCTTTGGACGAAATTTCAAGTCGTTTTGGCCGTGGGTGAGAGAGTTAACCAACCCAGAGGAAGATACCGAGGATAGGCCGGTGGGTTCACAAATCTTGGCCGGGGAAGTCTTAAGCCAGGTGACTAGTGGCAGCCCACATAGACTAATGGCCTAGCAGGATTTACCTTCACTATCTCCCCCTTCCGGCTATAGCAGGACAAATAGGAAAGGAGGAGCTCCTTCGGGCCCTCACTTTAAGGACAATTAATGACACTGCTCAGGACTTTTTTTTATCTGGAGACATTTTAAACATGCGGCTTAAAATCATCCACCTCGCACTTTTAACAGATTGCCCTACTAAAATACACAGTCCATAAAACAGGTAGCCTTGTGTAAAACGTCGAAAATATAAAGATCATTTGTAAACTTTTAAAACTCCATTTTTACTTACGAATTGAAGGGAAATTGTAAGAAATGTTTTTGAACAATTGTTCCGTGGTGTAGTCTGAATCGAATTGGTTCTTGAATTGTGAAAATGATCAAACCTGCGAACAATCACGCTCTGATAGTGGCAGGCGGGACAATTGATTCTCGTCGCTGTAACATCGTCACGTTTGCCGATGTTATCGTGCTAACCAATTAAATTTCAATTACAATCATATTTTTACGCGAAAAGTAAGTAAATACGTAGCAAAATTGGAAATTTGTAATTGCAACGTTGATTTATCTTATGGAAATATTCCGCCTCTAATCTCATTCCTAAAGCTCACAACCTTCCCAACCACATATCCTTTTACAGACCATCAGCCTTCTTCCTATAATGTCCAAAATCCTTGAAAGACTCCTTTTAAAACGCTTAACACCATCCTAAGCATCATGAATTCATTCATGCTCACCAATTTGGCTTCCGCCCTCAACATTCCACAAGGTTTCAGATTTTTCGAATCACCTCTGCTCTAGAGAAAAAAGTGTTCCTAGATATAGTACAGGCTTTTAATAGGGTCTGGCACTCGGGCATGCTTATAAACTTAAACGCTTCCTATTCCCTCCTTATTACTTTATCCTGAAATCCGATCTACCCGACCGCTGGTTCAGAGTGAGTGCGGCAACAAGTTCTCGGAATTCAGATGATACAAGCCGGCGTCCCACAAGGGAGCATTCTTTATCCCGTCCTATATCATTTATACTACTTGCCAACTTATACATCATTATGCCACTATGCCATCATCATTACCTACGCGGACGATACCGTAATTTTGCCCTTTAAGTGGAATCCTATCCAAGCTACCACCAGCATCCAAAACATCTTTTGTTTATCGAAGACTGGTGCAAAAAGTGGAGCACAAGACTGAAATGAAGAAAAATGTACTCAGTATACGTTCACCTAGAAAAATCAGTTTTGCCCTGCACTGTATGTCAACAACAAATACTTAGTACTATATTGAGAAAGCGACTGACGTGTAAGCCCCATACAAGACTAAAATGACAACAGCTTAAAAGAAGATTTGGATAACTACGAAGACTTCTAGGATCGAAATCCGTCTTGACCAACACAAGACTAACATTACATAAGACTTCACTGCGACTACTTTGGGCATACTGTGGAATTTTGGGATTATGCCAAGCGATCTAACATCAAACGCATCCAATTGATCCAATCTAAAGTCTTCAGACAAATCGCCAAAGCTCCTGACTACGTCGCTAACCCAAAATTCCACAACATTCCTTTGTCCACGAACTGATTGGTTTCCAATTCCAAAAGTTTCACACTAACCTCTCGATCCAACCTAAAACTACTACTAAAGCCCTCGATTCCTACCCCGCAAACCCGCGACGTCGGCTTAACCGATGATAGTGGCCGCAAGACCTCCTAGCCCCTTAAACTTTCCAATTGAATTGGCTGGCTTCACATAACATAGCATGTGTCCTCCGGGTGCAGCGCTGACATTAGTGCTAGTGCTAAGACCGTGTGATAAACCGCACTGTGTTCAGATTTGTACTATACACTAATATGTATAGGGCACACAAAAAAATCGTATATAATAACAGGATAAAAATAAATATCTCAGTTTTAACGTTATGGAATGGACATACAGGAATGAGACATACTAAGCGCAAGTTATTGCATTTTTTTTTTGTTCAATCCAATGGCCCAAATCAAAACTTAATTGTCCACAAATTATTACAAAGTATATTTATTTAACTTGTCATTCAGTTAAAAAGGCCTTCAATTAAATCTGCCGTCCAGCGATAGTAAAACAATGCCCCCAAACCCACTAATTTAGCTTTTTTTTTAAATGATCAATCGTTCTAATGGAGTAAAGTGTTTTAAGATAAGTGAAAAATAAATATTAAAAAACCAAGCTGAAATTTATTTAAATCCGTGTAAACCAACAAATTTTTGAAGCGTAAAGAACCGAGACTTGTAATTCAGTCTTCGAACAAACCGCCTCCGGATTTGAATACAATTTCTCTTACTTTTCCCTGAACTCGATTTCCCTTGTTTACAAAGCGATGGGCTACCTCGGTGAAATACCAGTGAGTAAAGTATTTACTTATAAATTCGAATTTCAATGTATATCTATAATTGTACCAATTTGAATAATTTTTACGGAATTTGAAGTATTTGTACAAGTAAAAACCGTCAACTTTTGTAAGTAAAAGTAGGTATGGTGAAGAATTTTGGCTCTCTACGAAATTTCAGATCTACGCGATAGACACCGTTAAAAAGATAAAATATGTTTATCACGTTCTAAGATCAAATCCAGGTCGAAAATGTTTTTCTGAAGGTTTTGCCAACACGGACGGGAATGCGGATAGGCAATCGGTTCGACCCGGGAGTCGTGCGGGTTTGCATTCCTCTGCCCATCGTCACGACACGAATGGTTTTATTGTTGTTTGAATTGTGATTGAAACATTTAACTTCTCCCCCCCCACACTAAATAACATTAATTTAAGAATTAACGAAAACAAATAATTTCTTTTATTTTAACAAAAATCAATAAAAATTATATTCTGATTATTCGGAAATCGTGTGACGTAGTTTTCAGAAAAACATTTTCTTTATCGTGCCAACGTTTCGATCTTTATTGAGATCATCTTCAGGGCTCAAAGTGTTTGTTTTCTGCGTAATTGTGCCATTCTTGCGTGTCGTGTTGAGAGTGTAATCACCACACATTATATTCTGACTTAAAAGTATGATTTTCAAAGCAGTTTTTTACTTTAGAAGAATTCAACTCAAGAATTTTCGATTCAATCTTCTCTCATTCAGTATTTACAGATTTTAAAATTGGATAAAACTGGTAGATAACTATCATAAAAAACCTAACGAAATGACTCAACAACCAAGTTTATGTTACTAAGAAACACATTTCTACCCGAGAGGAACAACGTAACTAACATGGGTTCTATGACTGAAGATGACCCGAATAAAGGTCGAAACATCTATAAAAAAAGAGGTGTTTTTCTAAACACTTCATTCCTGACCGCTCCTCACTACTTCAAAAATTAACAAGGTGAGAAAAATGCGAGAATCACTGTTTGCATAGAAAGCTGTATTTATGTAATTATCTACAAAATAATTCACTTGTTTACTCGAAAGTTAAAATTTTATTAGAGTTATAATTATTGGGCTTCAACCCCGAAGGGTTGTCACTCCCGATATGCTTATCCTAGAGTTTATAGGGGAGTTCTCCTGCCCCGTTATGCAGGTGAGTCGCTAGAATCTCCTTTAAGCCAGATGCCCAAGGGAAGATCGCTTCCCAACCGACGAGATCTTTCGATAGCTAAGTCATTTAAGCCTACAACGCATATAAAATATAAACTAGGGTAAAACTAACTAAGCCTCCAACGTACAAAATATAACCTAGCGTAAAACTAACTAATTTGTATAATACAGTCGCACAAATAAATTAACACCCACACATAATCCTCCATCGACCAGGTTCCAGTTATAAAAAGTTATCATCTTTGTTCTTAAAAATTTTGAATTGTTGAAAACTATTCATCCTTTCAACTATTTTGAGTAAACTGTTCAAATATGAGAATACGAAGCATATCTTCTACAGATATCAGGTTCAGGATATGAAGCACGATTTAAAAATAGTTAGACAGCGCTCAACAATTAATTAACAGTAAACATATTTGTAATTACGACGGACACTTTATCAGCGTTAACAAAAATGATAACAATAAGTAATAATATTCTGTCAAACTCTGTTCAATTGCTCTTCACTGATAAGATTGACATAGCAAAACGAAAAGTAAACCCCCGGTTTCCGAGAATAAGACTAGTTAAATATAAAAAGTAAAAACTCACTCATCAACGACGCAGAAAGATTCAAAATGCTTTAACTCACCTGAAACATAAGCATAAAAAATTAGAAACATCAAAATTAACATAATTTCTAACTAAAAACTAGTTTTAAAGTAATATAATTGTATGCTTCTAGGTGCGATTAAAAGAGGACGGGCCAGGAGTAAACCAGAATAGGATTGATGCCAGAAGGGCCTAAACCGGGGATGGAGAGCAAGAAGGGAAGAGAACAGAAGTGGAGCATTTCAAGGACACTTCAACATCTGGCCCTCGGGTAACAAAGGGCTTAATATATAGGAGCGATACCCCCTCAAAACCCCGCTACCATATTTTACTTCTGATCGTACAGTGAAGAGAGCGGAGAAACTACCGGTAAAAAGAAACAAACGTTAAGAGGGAAAGAATAATAGGGCCTTTTGTCAAACGTTGCCTCCAGGACAGGAAAAATACGAAGTAGTATAAACCTAAAACCAAGATTTATTCGTGGTAAACCATATGTAAGTAACACAGTAAATAAAACATAGTCAACTCGCTGTATTTCATCTCATTCGAACGAAAAATGGGAAAAGGAAATTAATAAAAATGGTTAACATTGCATGAGTTACGAATTTTTCAAAATGGTTTATTGAATTCCTTTCTCAATTCTTTATACTTGCAATTAAAGTGCATCTTTTTTATATTCTCTGTTTATATGACATAAAATGACAAATATAAAGATATGATAAAATTACGAGGGCCCGATCCTACAACAAGTACTAGTCGACTGCACTAGCAAATGAACTAAGTATATTATTTCTAATTGTGAAGCCCTACTTACACAACTTATAAAATGTGAAGAAGGCAAATACAACACGAGTTCATCTCGCCGAAAGTTGGTTAGGGCGCAGAAAGCTCGCCCCTTCTGTAAAACCCAGGTGAAGAAGCTTTCTTCAAAATAATTTTGAAGTAATTGGAAACTGGAATCAGACAAATTGGAGGAACAATGGGGGCGCTTGAAAAATGGGGAAACGACAAGCTGGAAAAATAAAGAACTTTTAGGAAAAAATGGAAGTAAAGAAAAAATAAGAAAAGCTAAAGTGTCTCTACTTGATTGAGGGAGCGATGACAGTGAATGGAGAAAAGGATTTTTGGTTTCTCTATGTTATAAGTCTGTAAGAAAGTGTTTTTATTTAGGAAGATACCAGATATTTATTCAATAGCTTTTTTCTAAAAGAAAACGTCTGGTCTGTGCCACACATTCCCTGACATGCAATGTAGAAAATGAAATGGATAGAATCCGAGCTTCTACGACACTTACAATCTCGACCTTGCTCCTACAGATTTCTGATCAATGGCCAACTATTTTAAGCATAAACGTTTAGCACATTTAACGCGTAAACCTGTACTAGAATTGGTTCAATCAAATCCAAGGTATGCTACTGTCAGAAAATTGATCATTTGGAAATTCTAGATGTCTGTGTGATAAAGTAAAACAAAGATAGATAGATAGATAGAGATAGATATATACTAATATATATAGACAGAAAAACTATGTTTGTGTTTGTGTATTTTTGTCTGTGGTTAGTTTTTCTATAAGAATAAAGCATTTAAAACTATAAAAAATAAAGCATGTAAGACTAAAACAGCACGTCGCATAAAGAGTTTTAAGTAACTATTTTTTACATAAATATTTTAATGTTAGTTTATTTACAACACACCCAAGTACATAATAACATTTTAATATAATACATAAACTGTTTTAATTTTACATTACTTGCTTAGTTCTCATTTTTGGTGACCTTTATAACAAAAGCATGCCTTACACTATGTGACTCATGTGCTTTATGCTAATGCTTGATAGACTATTTTTATGAGTATATTTCTTAGAAGATATGATGAGCATATTGGGGTAATCGTTGGATTTTTGTAATTTTGCATTATTATTATTATGAATTTTTTTAACTAGTTCCAAATAAGTAGACAAATATTTCTTTATTGCTAAAGCTTCATTTAATGTTTTAAAATTACTTTTGTAAATTGAAACCTATCGATGGTTGTACTTCAGTTTATGAGCCAAAGGGAGACAACTAATTGACAAACCCTTTTATACAAATAACAAACGAGACAAAAGAATCCAAAGCATCTCCGAGAATTTCTTGGTGAACGCTAAACAAGCAGAATTCCTGAGATTGCATTCCGAACCTCCGACGAGCTTATCTCAGGACACACAGAAGGACACACATATTAGCATCTCCTTCAAGACGTCAATCGCCGTACTGACTACTGAAAACAGCGTTTCTTGAAACATGTAATTTTTAAACTATTAAGAATCATGATACTATAGATGTATTAGAGAACCGGGATTTGTCTATTCCATAATTGAGATAAACTATGAAAACCTAACAATGAAAATGATTGAAACTATGAGAGTTATTACGGAAATGGAAAAACCAAACTACATCTTTTTCTTAGAAGTTATATTTACTAAGTCCATATGCAGAGTGGGGCCCCGAATTGATTTCAATGGTGCAATCAGCAGACAAAAGGGATTTTTAATTAATCCCACTTGGAAGTCAGCCGTTAAAAAAGAATGAGGTTTTTTAATATGTAGCAATTGTAAAGCAATTGCATATTTATCTGTTTCATTTCCTAACCTTGGAGCCAATGCCTATCCGTGACAACTGAAAAACAATACTGTTACACTGAGAATTCTAATGACATGGGCAAGGTCAAGAGAAGCCAGAGGCGTCTTTTCTAATGGACTTTTGCAGGAGGCTAAAGAGATTTATTTACAGTTAGTGTTCCGGTTATTTTTTCAGCCTAACGGTTCTATAACTTTATTAAAAATTAGTGTAACACCTAAACAGTCTGTAACGTTTTCCTGGATCATCCAAGTGATAATGAAAAGTGAGAATATCCGTGGCCCACCTGTCGGGACCTTATTCAAACGTTTATTAACAGAAAAAACCCTGTTATGCCCGTAATAAGAATATTAAGTCTGCACTGTGATGTAACAAACTCTGTAGAAGCACAACGAGTTTTAAAGTCCGGCCGAATTTAGGTCAACGTCCTTTAGGGCGGATGGAAACATTCAAGATGTGATAAAGATAAAAGTGGAAAGCTTCCACCGAACTAGGCAGGGATCCAATTAGGGTAATATCCGAGAAGCGCTTCTGGAGGTAAGTGTAATCATAAGATAAGAAAGAGCTCTTCTTTAGACCAAATGGTACACAGGAGGAAAAAATGCGAAACGTATTTTTCCCCTTTTAAAATATGTACGAATTGATAAATTTCGGCGGTACTTTCGCGGGATAATACGATAAAAGCCCATCTCAGGGGAGAATTTGTGTGGTGTCTCATTTTGAAATTGATAATCGTGTGCCGAAAAATCAAATAATCTGAACGCTCAAACGCGAAACGCAATTCTCTCTGCTTTCTCTTATTCAAGGAGAAATCACTTATCGCTATGGCTACGGCTACAATTCGCGTTGTTCAATCCTGCTATTTAAACTATATTTCAAAGGAATTGAAGGATAGAATGATTCAAAATCCTTCCTGAAAACTCGAGAACCTCTGATCTAATTAGATCTCATAGAAATTTATAAAATAAATGACTGTGATATGAAGAAATTAATCTTTAATACGTTCTGGCATGATTCCGGTTTGATACCAATCCATATTCATTATTTACCATATTATTACTCACTTATATAATGCTAAGTTTTCATGCTCAATTTATAACTGCTATCTTTTTAATTTGTACTTTTTCTTTTGTTGTTAAAAAAATACGATATTATTTATTAATTGACAATTAAAATAATTAATATTTGTTAAAATTTTCTTAGTTACCTTAGACAGTTATAGATCTATTTACTGGCTTTGATATATCTTGATTTGATCTGATCGCATATATAGTTTGAAATTAATGTACTGTGAACTTTAATTAATCCATAACCACTAGGCTTACTTAAATAATAATTATATTCAAGTTTTCAAGTTATAACTAATACATTTTCAATTTTGATCCTATATGCTGCTAATAACATTTCCTCAATATTGTTTTATTATTATATTTTTAAACGTTGACTAATTGCAGTAAAATCTCAGCCAGTTTCACCTATATATAATTTTCAATATAACCTAATTAGATCAGAGTTGTCATAAATTCAAAAATTAAAACAAGAACTTAAGTTAAAGAAAATGAAATCGACTTATAATTAATTCATTCTGTCGTCACCATTTTGGTTCGATTTTAAGTCAGATTCGTTAAGTTTCTTCAATCGTTATTAGAGCTATGTTCTCCAGTGGAAAATGACAAGTTATACCATATATAATAATAATATAATTGCTTTCCTCTTAAAAAACGAATAGATTATATTAAATTTAAGTGAAAGAAAATTAAATTCATTCATCCTTCTGACATCATTTTGTTTCAATAGAAATTTATATTCATTAGGCTCGCTTAAGTATAAAATCCAAAAAATAAATTTTTTACCCATTATAATATTTAAAATAAGGACGGCACGTTTTAGATTAATCTTAGATAATATAACTTATTTATAAGCTGTGACTTTAGAGTTTATGCGCAATTTTTTTAAGCAAAATGTTTTTCCTGTTTTTTCTTGAAACTTTTAACGGTTTGAATTTCCATTATTTTAAAATATTATATTTAAATGTTTAAACATAGTTTTTTCCAATTCTCACCTCTTATTCAAAACCGGTTCCGTATATGAAAATCCCGCTATTAAGATTTATTCTGAACGAAAAACTTTTTCTTTTTAATTCTTTACTGAAAACCGGAAAAAATATCCCTTGCTTTTTTTTAATCCTAGTGAGATCATAGTCGACAAATAGCTTAAAATCTACAACGACAACAGAAATAGTGGCCTTGGATTTCTGCACTAACATTTATTTGCATTCCCCTTTGAGAATATTTTGCAAAAAAAATATGAGCGAACAGCCACATTCGTCTCAAAATAAATGTATGCCTTTTCAAAAATATTCTGGGCTCATAACGATTATTTATACTATTTCTCATTAAAAACGATAATGTCAATCTTGTCCTTGTTGCAATTTTATGTAGACACAAATATTTTTTGACGTGCCCTCGGTCAGGCAGTAACATACAACCGGTATTTCCTAAAAGATGATCAATTAAAAAAAAATTAAATAAATAAAAGCAATTATATTAGTTCTATGAATCGTATCTTTTATATATACATATTTATTTATTTATTCATATATTTATATAAAATGCATTATATACTGTCCTGTGAAAAAATATATACTCATTCATTTAGTTTTATTACATTGCTAGATTAATTACAATTATGCCAAAATTATTGTTTAACTTTGAATAGAATAAAGTAATCTCTTTCAAGAGATTAATTCCTTTTTTCTCAATCTTTTCCGATTCGTCATCCAACTCAATGTTTACAAATAAACCCTTATTTAGTTTGTGAATAATTATAAACTCAAGGAACTAAGAAAGGAGTTTATTACAGAGAAAGCAGATGTCTTTTGTGCCAACCATGTATTCTTGGGAATAACACGC